TAGTGGCGGCCTGCAAAATCTGATCTCGAAGTGATCAGATCCCTTTATTGAGGAATCAATGGCCCCTGACCACACATTACCTGCCACCATAGCATTGCCGTTGGTTGGTCCGGTCCGGTTCGGTTTGGCAGGGGGTCCATTTATGAAGTTAGTCTCTTCAATCAAAATAGGCCAGAGAGGTATTTTTTCAAGTTTCTACTACAAGGTGAGTACCATAGTATATCTTCCTCGCAGTATAACACATTCTAGTGGGCTGTGTGGGACAAAACCAAACCAAACCAAACCAAACCGGTGATCTGATTCCGGTTCCGGTTGGTTTTGCCAGTTCACCGGTTCAAACCGTACCGATGGCAACGCTACGCCACTGTCATTGATACTGGTGCCAACAATCAAGATGAGGGCTTTCTTGTCTGTGGCTACTCAGCTTGAAAAGTATTTCATGAGCTCTGAGCCAAGTCACAGTGTGATATTCAAACACCACTATTTCTCCAATGTCTACAATAACTTCGTCCCAGCCCGATCCCATGCCAACTCTGATCTTATCTTACAATTGTGTTGGTATCAGCCTCATTGGGCACGGGGGATCGTGCGCGGTTCAAGACCCATTCACAAAATCTGTTGCTTTACCATGTGTAAGACAAACTGTTCGAACTCCTGAGAACATTGTGTTCACTTTATTGCACCACAGACATCCTTTTTTCTATATGGTGAGTTGATTGAGGCTCCCATCTATCACTACGAGCATTCATACCGTGGACTTCCGTCATGAGGCATCTATGTGGTCCTCTTCGCAACCCAGTGTATTTCAATATTAATCCGACGTAGACCCGCACACTTTCGCCTCCACTGCGCTTCTATTGTCGGCCTATTTGTCCTGGCAACAGCTAGCCTCACCGTGAATATCACTACTGTATTCATTGCATACGGGGAGTCCAACACAAGGTCTTATATCGGTTGGTATTGGGAAGGAGGAAAGGGACCTCAGGTGGCCGTCAAGGATAATCTCCAGGATGACTCAATGTTGGACCGTACTGATACCTACCTGACCCTTCGGGAACACAACGTGTGAGTTGTTGTTTCCTTACCGGTTTTTTTACCCTTAGCCATTGCTCCCCCCCCCCCCCCCCCCTTGACACAAAACAGAGTTTTGAGTACCACTGGCCGCACCATTGTAGTGGCGGCAAAGTGAGTCTGTTTTCATCCAGTTGTTTGGATACAATGGTAAAAAAAAAACCATCCCGTAGCATCATAATGGACCTTACCTTGGTACATTCAAGTTTCGAGTACTACGTCCACGACGATCAGGCATTTCTCACTCACAATGGCCGCGAATCGGTGTCAGCTAGGAAGGTGCTATCTGATATGGGGTAGGCGACGTCGGGTAGTCGCTGTTCCAGGGCTTCTCTGTCTGTTGAACAATTTTGGTAACAGGTTAGCACTCATTTGTAGGCTCCCAACTCACGAGTAATGTCCCCTTTCTTACAATCTATAGCTTGGAATCAGGATCACTCTACCCTTTGAATCTCTCCATATACTTCACGTTTACGTTGGTCCGCATGTTTGGAGTTGATTGGCGTGATTATGAACGGGCGAACCGTATCGACACGGTGCTCGACGTATGCTTCCAGCTATTTTACTTCTTGATGGTACCTATAATGGTGCGTCCCACATTCGTCGGTCGCCATTCGTTTTTCGAACTGTCTTCTAAATTAGGGAATCGCTTCGACTCTAATTATTGTACGCACGGCACAGGGAAAAGCCATCGACAACCAAGAATCGTTCAAGACGATTGTGCTGGGAGAATCCGGCGGGGAGAGTCGAGAGGCTCCGGCAGGAGCTGTGGACAGTATTGTTGACACCCAACGGTCCACCCACGGGTCGATGGGGGCACGGCGGAATGGAGAATCAGCGGCTCAGTAGTAGGTGTTGTTCTGCAAGTTTCTCTACTTGCTATGAAGCTTGATGAATCAATACTGGGAGAGCTGAAACTTTACCTAGTGGCCGCAGAATATCTGTGAAGTCTTTCGCTATAGGGACACTGAGGATCTGGTTGTAGTCAGTTTCTGTGCATATCAATTTGAATGTAGTATATTTATGTTATATCCTTCTATATGTATATGTTCTCGGATATCAGGGCCGAAAACAAGATCCAAACTTTGATGGGTACAGACCGTCGAGCCTGTTCGGTCAACAGCCACCTTCGGAAGATGCTAATCAATTCAAGTCCTTATTTTCGCCGGTTTTGAGCATTTCCAACCTCTTGCCAAGTTCAATGGCTTTTTTTCGAGACCGCGACACATACCCACAATCAAACCACGGCCAGGTACTCGGACTGCATGAGGGGGAAAACGAACTCCTGGTTTGCGAGGAGTTTATCAGTTCCTAGACCAGTAAAACGTTGTGTTGTTGACGACGAGGAGCGCTCGCGGCTTGCTCTCTTACCAGTACGTCCGTCAAAAGAGGTTGGGTCTTTGAAACACTCAAAGGTTGATTTGGTAGCAGGATTCTTTGTCTACTTCCCGTCCCAACGAAACAAACAAACTCATAAATTTCGTTACAGGGCTATCGGGCTCAATCAAAAGGGAAAAAAAACTCGATAAAGTGATAGAGGTCCGGTGAGTTGGGTACGTAGACTGCTGTATATATATTTTTCCGTTCTTGAGAGCTGGCTGCGGTTGAAAGAGTGGTCCCTAACATCGATTCTTCCTTCGTCCCGAGTGGTAACCTCGCAGAACGCAAACTACTTCCTGTTTCGTTCAACTCAGGGCGTTTCGAGCGAATGATGATCTGGTAAGTAGATGATTCAAGTATATCCTCTCCACTCCCCACTTACTTTTCTTTTTCGCGTATCTTTCTCACTCGGCCTTTGCGCTCAACACCTCTACTACTTCTTATCTTATGATCCGTTCAATCCGAGCAGTATTTGGTTCATATCAGTGACTTGGCCGAATCCGAGTCGAGAGAAGAGCTGTCTGTGTGATGTTAGGGATTGTCACGACGCTGCGATTTGTGAGCGGAGGGTATACCTAGGTTGTTTGATTGTGGAGAGCTTGGGTAGCTATCGTCTCTCCTTTCCCGAACAGAACTACTATCTTGACTGGCTCAGCGGAGCGGGGGGGAAGTGCACTACATCGACTCTAGGGCTAGCAAAAAAGGCTCACAGGAAAGTGAGAAATGTGTTTGAGAGTTGATGGATCGACGTCCTGAAAAGTGAAAGCAAAAACAATGGTGAAAATACAAATAGCCTACATGGATGTCTGGTATTCCGTTACAGGGAATCGAACCCTGGGCTATCGCGCTCTTTGGACAGACAAACACCATAACGGAGTTGTAAGCATCCTGGATGATTGGGTCTATGTAGATGAGAAAAAAGTATGCAATGACATCAAAAAGGGCGCGTCTGCTTTGCTTCGTGTCATAGCAACTCTAGACTTCAAAACGAGCTGGAAAACGGTACTGGGGACGTGGGCTCAGACATTGATTGAGGAAAACCTAATATTTGTGCTACCCATTTGATAGTTGTGTCGGTACTACCTCTCCTCTTCGGTGATTCGTGAGAGGCGGGTGCACACTGTGTACTAATTATGAAGATATAACCTGTAAGTACATGATGGGATTAACGGTCGTCAGTTGTTGAATACTGAACTTTATTCGAGTCCTCAAAAATGTTAAAGTTCATGAAAGAGGGGGTGGAGCGCACGGGATTTGGGATTTGGGAATTCAACAGGTGGTGACGAGAAGGGTGGGTTTGGAGGTCACCCCTCTCTCAGACTCGTTTGTGAGTTGGGGATTCGTTGGTAAGAATGTGTGTGCCTGCGAGCTATTCCCGAAACGTGGAAAAGGGAAAGGTAACAATGTAGTGGGTCTAGCTCGAAGGAACCCCGTGATCAATTGTTAGAGTTCACTGGTAAAGGTTCAATACACGAGAGTCCTAACCGCATCGAGACTCTCGTCTGTAGGCATCGTGCCTTAAATTGGTTTTCCACTAAACTACATCATCTTTCTTTCCCCTTGTTTGCCAGAGCTTTGTGTCTACCCACCCTTACTCAACCCTTATGCTCCCTCCCTTTGTTTATCCGAGCTACCGAGCACACTGTGCATGTTTGATGAAGCAGGCGCCATTGGTACACGGCACCTGGGGTAACTTAGAAGGTAGGTAGTATACCCCTTTGGGCCTGTGGCCTAACGGTATTGCTACCCCCAGAGTCGGAGAAGTTGCCCTGAATGATTATATGATAATCCAACCCAAGAGATGTGCAAGTAAGGATTCATTAAATCAGATAAAACACACAAGTGGGGATCACAACGTACTCGCTCGCGCTGCCGTTCAAAGAGCGGCCAAGCCTCAACAGCACTTCTTCAACATATCGCATTCGGACACCGTTCCTCAATTATCCTTGCATACAACACGCCAAGTGCTGATTTAGGATCATAGTTCCTTGCGGACCGGCGATTTGGGTCGTTGATCGTGATTTAAGTATTGTTGGGGAGGCAGAGGTTTCTGCGCTCGCGGATTTTTGACGGGCTTACCGACATATCACCATAAACAGAAAACAATCACAACTTGAAATTCTATCTACAACCTGTTGTTTAAGAACTGGCTTCTATAACCGTCACATCAGCTCAGGTCTTAAAGATGCCGCACTATAAATACATGTTTTATCCATAGTCGTATTACATCGGGATCCGGTACTCAGGACTCACTAGGAAACTTGTCAACTGTTTGATTCTCGACCGGCGGGTTCGCCTGTCACCCTCTCTCAGACTCTGGGAGGGGGGGGGGCTTTTGTTTAGTTGTTTTGAGTTGAGATTTGTTTGCAAAAAAAACCTATGGTGGGAGACGAGGCAGTAAGAATATACATACCTGTGAATTATTCCGAATCCCTTCTATTATGGAAGCAGAGGGTGGCGTGTAGAGTATGTCTGTCTCTCGGAAGACCCGGAGTTCACGGGCAAAGGTAAATGGTAGGGGGGAAAAACCTGATGGAAGATCACCTCAGTTCCGTTACAGGGAATCAAACCCTGGGCTATCGCGGATGATGCAGACTTGACTATGAGAGGCGATAATGTTAGCCACTACACCATAACGGAGCTGTAGGGGTTATGGATAGTTGGGGTACTTATAGATAGGACCGAAGGGTATTGTCTCGTGTCGTAGCAACTCTGATATAGGTGAACAGGGTCGGGGATTTAGGATTCAGGACAAGTTTAAATGAAGTTTGGGACGTGGTGTTGGTGTTACTTCGTACTTCGATTCAGTGTTTAGCGTACCGAAGGCAAGACAATGGAATTCAGGATTGATCATTAGCGGTTGTTGAAATTTTATCCAACTGAAGTTCACCAAAGGTCCAGGAGAAGAAACCCTAAGAGGGGAGGGGATTTAGTGTGTGTGTTTTTTTTCCTCTTCTCAACCGATCGCGTGTTTGAAGGTCGTCCTTGGCTTGAATAGTCTGCTGTCTTGACGTCTGCTTGACGTAGAAAGGTTAACAGGTGGTGAGAATGTACTTGTACTTACCTGCAAGCAAGCTGTTTCAAATCCTCGGTGGTATTTGGAGTGTATGTAAGCTTAGCAAAGTCAAGTTCAAACCCCCGAGGACGAATGCACGATTAACTCCCGACTGACCTTGGTAAAAGAGAAGTTTCTACCCAAATAGTCCCGAATTTCGCTACAGGGAATCGAACCCTCGGCTATCGCGCTGTGAGCCTCAAGGATTGGCAAGAAATGAGGGGCAATAATGTTAGCGTCTAAGGTCCTGGGTGTGCACTGTGTACTTCTGTGAACAGAACCCTGGGATTGGCGGTCGTTGAAACTTTATGTCCTAGTCTCGAGAATTCCGTTTGTTTCACGATTGGGGAATTTGACCGGCGGCGAGAAACGTGGTAAGTATGTACAGTGTAAGAAAAGGGAAAGGTACCGATGTAGTAGAGCTAGCTCGAAGGAACCCCATAGTTTATTGTTCGTCAGAGGTCACTGGTAAGGGATGATCGATAAATACACGAGAGTCCCAACCGAAAAGTGAATAATACAGGACCCGGTCCGGGTATGAAAAAAAAAAAAAGAAAAATGGACTTCATCATTGAATTCCTTTACAGGGAATCGAACCCTGGGCTATCGCGCTCCAGCTTGACTACAATCAATGAGAGGCGATAATGTTAGCCACTACACCATAACGGAGTTAGAGATAGGGCGCGCGGCTGGATATATATACAACGAAAAAGCCCGAGTGTTAGGTCCCGTGGACAATAAAGTTGAGCGCTGAGCTTTGTGAACGGCTGGAATTTGGTAAAATCAGAACGGTGTATGACCTTGGGTAACACGTTGGAATCCGATCGGTCAGTAGGTAAGTAAATCCAGTTTGTGAGCGTGCAAGTCTGTCAACAAGGACCTTTATTTTGAGTATCTGTTCTGTGATCAGTCCCGTGTTTAGAGGATTTTGAGAAAACTCCAAAGGCTTCGTGAGACGTTAGGTTGAGGTAGAATCGAAACAGTATATGTACCTGGACAACATGCTCGTTTGTAACTCCCCTGTAGTATATCGGTTAGTACACGCGCCTGTCATACTTCAAAGTCATATATGGTTCGCGCGAAAGCTGGGTTCGACTCCCAGCCAGGGAGATAAAGAAGTGCCCAAATAGAGATCTTTTTTCTCGCGGGTACATGTGCTCTCTCCGATCTTCCAGAGCCTTGCAGTTTATTATTCTCTTCCCAACTTTATAGCTCCAACGTGAAATTTGGCTGTGGAACGAAGAACGAGCGGAGAGCGGAGATGTCATTGTCAAGTGCCGGGCCCCGGCCGGCAGGTCCTGTGACCGACGCGTGAACGTGATGTTGTTGAATTCTCGTCGCCAAATCTATTGTTGGCCATTGACGGTGATCACCACGATGGTTCGGGTACGTTTCATCGTCTCTATACTCTCTCTCTCCGTGATTGTACTTATGGCTCTTATGAACGTAGTCACCGCGAATACCCAACCAAGACCTTAGTCTACGACATCTACCCGATTTATCCGCATCGACAGAAGAAGAAGACTCATTCCAAATCCCAAACAACGATGGAGACGACGACGACTCGTACCTCCTCTCACACAAAGACGGCGGCGGATACTCGTTCTTTCGAGGGAACAACGGAGAGGAATACAGCGTGCTAGGAATGGGAGCTACGCCTATGGTACCGAGGAATACAGCAGCATCGCCGGCGAAATCGAAAAGAGACGTTTTGGTTGATTCGCCTAGGGGGAATGCAAAGACGTATTCGACGCCGCATCGGTTGGCGAGTTTGAAGTCTGCTATTGAGGGTTGGGATGATGAGGTCCGTGTTTTCTTTTTCCCTCTCGATATCTGTGTTGACTTGAAGATACCAGACTCCACTCCTTCCTACCAACGTGAATTTGAACCAGACAGAGCTGATGAATGTGACCATGGACTTGGACAACGACATCGATATGGATACGACGTCTGATAGTATCAACACTGGAATGGCAGGCAGGTTGATGATGTATAGTCGACAGTTTGGTTTTACCCAGCCATCGTGCGTCTTTGTCTATATCTCGTCTCTCGTTGGTGCTGACCTCTTTTGGACAGGAAATCGCCAGCGAAGAAACCTAGTACCTCGTACGTATATCTTCGAGTCCTTCAAGGTGCTAATTCAAACATTGATAGGAAATCGCCGGCCAAGCAGGAGAAGCTCCCAACAAAGAAGATATTCGGTCCTCCAAAGATCTCCCAGCCAGAATCGTCGTCTTCCCCCTCGTATACGGACGCACCGGTACCCAATCATCCAGACCCAACACCTGTGCTCGAGACCAACGTTTCTTCCATCTTATCCCCAGTGTCGTCGTCGACCCCTACCTCTCCTTTGAACGGACCCATAGAGCCATCGGGTGTAGAGGCACCCTCCACCCAACTCGACCTCGATGCGCCTCTTGACGCTGTACAACCCTCACCTCCGCCTTCACCGCCGCCATTCCCGTTGAGTGCCGCCTCACGAGACGAAGACGAAGAGCAGGTACCCGAATCTACAATACCGGAGCAGCCGTTACAATCTCTACCTTCTCCGCCGCCGTTCTCGTTGCGAGATGAAGAGGTCAAGCAGGCATCTGAACCCGAGCCCGAAGCTACGAAACCGGTAGCATCGACATCGCCATCGACTACGGCTGGTGCTTTTTCGTCGTCACCTGAAGATCGTCCTGAGCCGTCTGTGAAGCTCGAGCAGGGAAAGGAAAGGAAGACGACGACGACGATAAAGGGGAAGAAGGTGCAGGTCAAGACCAAACCTCCGCGTCCGCGTCCGACGACTGCTCTCTCGAAAGCACCTCCACCTCCTCCAACCTCGAGATCCAAATCATCCGTCACCACATCCACAACGAGACATATCCGTTCTGCGTCCACCACCACCACCACCACCACGGGTGCGAGCACGTCTTCGTCTTCGTCTTCCCCAATCCCAACCCCAGAGACGGATTCGGATACCCAGCTCGTCTATCCTCTAGATTCCACTTCCCCACCACCCCTCGAACGTGTAGAAGAACAGGACCCACCAGCTCAACTCGACCCCGAACCGCCTCTCGACATGTCACTTCCGCCGCAAGGTGCTGTTTCTCAGGACGAAGAACCCGAACCTCTATCTCTTGGGCAAACATCTCAACCCGAGTCCGTACCTATGATCCCGGTAGCAGCATCGATGGGTGCTTTCTCATCGTCACCTAAAGAGCCGTCTGTGAAGCTCGTACAGGGGAAGGAAAAGGAGACGAAGGTGAAAGGGAAGGGGAAGGTACAATCCAAGGCCAAACCTCCACCCCCGACGACGACTGCTCCCGTTCCCTCGAAGCCTAAATCGAAAGCACCCCCACCCCCACCCCCACCTCCACCCTTGAGACACACTCGTTCTTCGTCTACCGCCACCACCACCGTTTCTTTGTCTTCCCCAACCCCGACCCCAACCCCAACCCCAGACTCGACGGACACCCAGCTCGTTTCTCCCCCAGATTCGACTATTCCTACCTCCCCAGTAGTAGTAGAGGAACGACCCGAACCGCTCCCATCCACCACCACCACGCCTACCGTAACGGAAACGGAAACGGACGCCCAACTCCAACTCGTTTCTTTTTCCTACTCCGACACAGCATCATCTACTGGACCGTCTTCGTCTTCTATTGACCCCCCATTGCCACCGCCATCGTCATCATCTTTAGTGGGTGTCGTTGCGTCGGAGGAGGAGGAGGAAGAGAAAAAGGTCACGCTTCCACTTCCACTTCCGACTGCGGCTGGCAACGTACGTTCGGTGTCGGGGTCGTCCACTTCCACGAGACATAACCGTTCTGCGTCTACCTCCACCGTCGCCTCTTCGAAAGCTGCGGTTATGCGATCTAGACCTATGCTGGCGGTGAAGGGGAAGGGGAAGGGGAAAGGGGGCGGCGCTGGACCTTTTGAACTTTTTCCTCCTCCTCCTCCTCCTCCTCCTCCGGGGAAGAGGAAGGGAGCGACGAGTGGGATTGGGATTGGGGAATCTGAACGTGTGGGGAAGAAGGCACGGGTTGTTTCCTCAGCAGCAGCACCGCCTAGGACAGCGAAGATGAGGGTTGGTTCTGTGGGGGCGAAGGGGAAGGGGAAGGAGAAGGTTGAGGGAGAGGAGGTACGTTCTTGCTTTTCTGTGGTGTTTTTTTATTTTATTTTTCGGTTGTTGATTTCGTTTCTCCCCCCCCCCTCTCTCTTTTTCTTTTAGCCTTCGATCCCCACTTTAGCTTTAGCTTCAGCTCAGGAGGATAGCAGCGATATCCCAGAGCCTCCTCTACCAGTTGTACCAACCACCCCGGCCGACTCTACACCGGTACCTCTAGCTGACACGCTCGAATCTGAACTTCACTCGTCGTCGTTATCCGGTTCGTTGTCGTCCACCTCGTCTTCTACACCTCACACGTCAGAGTCGGATATCCTCACCGTATCGCAACTCTCACCGCGAAAGAAACGGCGGAGCTCTAGTCGCGAAGACCACGAACACCCGGGGGACGAAGACGAAGACGAAGATCGGAATTCGAAACGAGCGAGAAAGACGACGAGGGTACCTCCGCTTCCTGATGCCAGGGGAGGTTTGGGTGTTTCTGGGAGTGGGAGTCGAGGTGGAAGGGGGAGGGGGAGGGGGAGGGGGAGGGGGAGAGTCGTTTCTGCGCAGGTTCCGAGGGGGATAGGTAGTAGAGGAAAGCAACGAAGGGAGAGGGTACCTTCGGGTTCGGTGGTGGGGGTCTCTTCGAATTTGGGCTCTTCGTCCGTCTCGGTGATGGGTCCACCGCCCCCTCCCCCATCGACTAGACCTTTCGAGTTTAGTTTTCGATCTGATTCGAGGATCGCTGCTAGGAGGGAGAGGGAGAGGGAGAACTCGGGATCTGCTTCTACGTCGACTTTGACATCAACCTCGACCTCGACCCTCCTCACCTCAACCCACCGCCCAACGATCCCCCTCACAACCCACCTCCCCACCCACACCTCCCAGCGTCTCGCCCAACGAGCCGAATTCGACGCATCAGTCGCTTACAAAAACGAAGAGAAGAAACGGGAGGAAGACGCACGTCGACAGGCGAAGGAAGACGAGGAAGCGAGGGAGGTTAGGGAGGTTAGGAGGAGGATGGATGAGGAGGCGAGGAGGAGGGTTGGGGAGTTGGTTGAGAGGTTTGGGGTGTGATGTATGATGTGTAGGATTGGAATAGAGTGTTATATTTTTCTCTACTTTGGAGTGATGAGAAAGATACTTAGGTAGAAGGAAGAAAAAAAGGATTAGAAGGATACATCTCCCTGGCTGGGAGTCGAACCCAGCTTTCGCGCGCATTAGATTTGCCTCAATTATGACAGGCGCGTGTACTAACCGATATACTACCAGGGAGTTGATTTAAGACCATCGTGGTAAGGATATACTATCCAGGTTGCGTACCTGTCCCCACACCCACGTCACTCTAAAACTAGAGAGGTTCTATTGCAGTGGTTCCAGAGAATCATGGGACTCGTGAAGTCTCTTTCCGTAAGCAGATGCTCTCGCAAAAAAGACTGACTAACATAGTATTAGCATGGAGCCAGTCGCCGTCCCAAATTCATCGCCGGAGCCATGGCTTCTTCTTGAGCACGACTGTTGATTTTTTGTCCCTCTCAACTGGCCAGGTGTCATTTGTACTACTTGGGCCGGGTGCGTGGAAAACCCCTTTGAAAGGGGAGAAAAAAACGACAGCTTTCTCCTTCACCTCCCTGGCTGGGAGTCGAACCCAGCTTTCGCGCGTCCTCTAGTTCACAAACCATGACAGGCGCGTGTACTAACCGATATACTACCAGGGAGTTGTTTCTGGTAATTGTGGTCGGTGTATAGCCGAATGAGGTTGTATATGCATCTGTAAGGGTAAGGAAAATTCCTACTCTTGCGCCTCACACCTGAGTCACTCGGAGACTTCATCACTCAAGGACTCTTCTAGTAGGCAGATGCTCGCCTGAGTTCCGTTACTAGGTGGCTACGTCGGTAGCCTTCACAAAGACACAATTGTATTATCGTTCCAAGGACCAAGTATGTCGGAGGGTTCTCCTAAAGCGCAAAATCACCGTGGTCATGGCAGGGCGTTCAACTTCTCTTTCTTTTCAAACGGTTCGGTCTCCGACCTTCATGCAAAGGAGAAGTTACTCTAATCGTTCAGGGAGATTTAGACCGAGAGTGTTTTCCTAACCAGCCCAATCCTCATCGGAACCACGACGCCGATGCTTCATTCAGATTTCATCACCCCTCGGGAGTTGGGGCTGGAACAACCGAGAGACCTGGGAGAATTAAGTACAACACCCAGTAGATCTTCACGAATTTGATAGAAATTCAATTCCTCAATGCGATTTGCCCATTTGGTATTTATATACCTCGTTCATCCTACTTCTGTTCCGGTAAGGGAAAAAAAATCAATCTGGAGTAAACTTGCCAGAGCAGTTCCGTTACAGGGAATCGAACCCTGGGCTATCGCGTACTCTCTCACGTCATCATTGGATGAGAGGCGATAATGTTAGCCACTACACCATAACGGAGTTCCCAGAATGCCACATACCGGGATCAAGTACCCAGCATTATTGTCGGTGAGTCCCGGTCGCATTGAGGGAGGACTGCCAAAAATCGTAGTCATACTGTTGAAGGGATAATTGGCTTTCAACGCAGGACCCAGTAGATGTAGAGATTCGAATTGATTCCTTGGCAGACGTCGTTGTGTCAGTATCATTAGGCATTGTAAGTTGCGTAAATGGGCAGAGCAACTGGATTTTGGGCAGCCTGTCGGTATCCTAGCCCGCCCTCGGGTGAACACGTTGTGGCGGTCTTGAAATATAGAATTCGGAGTTTACGCGTTACGCCTTCACTCATTTGATTTGCACCTCAGTCGGGTTCCTTACCCTTGTCGGAAACCAGTTATTACTCCTTCGCCTTTGCCGAGTCTTCCCAGTGCTTCAACAATAAATTCTTCACCTTCTCATTTCGGTAGCGGTTCCGAGGGGGATGGGCGGCAGAGGAAAGCAACGGAGGGAGAGGGAGAGGGAGGTGTCCGAGTCTACACTTCTCACCTCAACCTCAACCTCAACCCTCCTCATCTTCTCCCACCGCTCGCCCCCAAACCCAACGATCCTCTTCACAACCCACCTCCCCACCCACACCTCCAACCGTCTCGCCCAACGAGCCGAATTCGACGCGTCAGTCGCATTAAAGAACGAAGAGAAGAAACGGAAAGAAGATCAATGTCGGCAGACGAAGAAAAAGGAGGAGGCGAGGAGGAAGGTTGGTGAGTTGGTTGAGAGGTTTGGGGTGTAGTCTAAGAGTTTGGTGATATATACTACTCGAGTCTGGTGATAATATCTACATGTGCGAGAAGGAGAAAAAAAGTAAAAAAACAAAAACAAAACTTTTCTATCTTGATCTTTATCTCCCTGGCTGGGAGTCGAACCCAGCTTTCGCGCGTCTTATGTTAACAAACCAGCACAGGACATGACAGGCGCGTGTACTAACCGATATACTACCAGGGAGTTATCCTCGGGAGCTGTGGTTGGGCTATACCCCGATTGCGTGGTAGATGCATCTGTTAAGGAAATACCAATGACTTCTCGCGCCTGACACCTAAATCACTCAAGAACTTTTCCATTAGGCGGATGCTCCTGTGCATCCGACTATGCAAAGTGGCGTCATTAAGTATGTCGTTCTAAACCGAGCTTCAGGTTTCTCGGAGGGTTCTCTGGAGGTTCAAGTGGTCATGGCAGGCTGCAGCTTTTTTCTTCAGACATCTTATTGACCTTCAAATAACGGAGTTGCATTGATCACTTAGGAAAACTTGGACGAGGAGTGTTTTTACTAGCCCGATCCTTTTCCCGTCGGAAACACGCCGCCCTCACTTCGTTCATCACTCCTCAAACTGGAACGATTGAGTGAGAATCACAAGGGCCAGTACAAGTTATCTCGCGTTAACGATTGCATCAATCGGTGACTCTCGTGAACTTACTGGGTACACAGACCATAAAATTCCTGAAGTCTCGCCGTGTACTTATATTCCCTACCCATCTCGTTCCTTTCTAACGATACTGTTCTGGTAAAAAAAAATATCCATCGTCACCGGTAGTTCCGTTACAGGGAATCGAACCCTGGGCTATCGCGCATCAAATGCATCTCAAGCACGCTGATGAGAGGCGATAATGTTAGCCACTACACCATAACGGAGTTTCTAGACCAGGATATATCGGGACTAAGTACCTAGCAATCTGTCGCTGAGTTTGGGTCGCATTGAAGGGAGGATTGCCCAAAATTGTGGTCGTATTATTGAAGAGCTCCAAATCAGATTTTTTGGCTTTCAATGCGGTCACAGGAGGTGTAGTGATCCGAATTGCTTTCAAGGCAGACATCGCCGTGTCAGTATCATTAAGCATTATAAGCTGCGTTATAGACGGAGAAACTGGACTTTGGGCGGCCTGTCGGTATCTTAGCCTGCCCTCAGGTGAAAACATGGTGGCGGCCTTGTACAATGAATATGGACTGGGAATCTGATCAGATGTGACTCTTGTAAAGATCTCACCTTGACTCATTTCATCAATTTCACACTCGTACCTCAGTCGGATTCCTTACCGAATCTTACCAGTGCCTCGACAATACATTCTTCACCTTCTCAGTTCTAACTTTTTCTCGTCGGCTTCGAATAACTCCCGATCGTGGAAGAGCGCTCTTTACGCTCAGTATTGTGCATTCGGTACTACTGACTCTGATCCCCCGGAAGTTGGAACTTCCCAATCGCCGACCGCTCGCGATTCATTTGGAAGCTTGCAGGTGCATATTACAATAGTACCCGTGGAGAACGGAACTCAATGTCTAGGGAGGTATTCACTTACTCAGCGGGGCCGCTGAGGCTTTAAGGAAGTTCAAAAGCTGTGGATCTTCAGAGTGATTACGCATACAGAGTCAAGTTCTGCTGCCTTGGCCATCATAAAAGCTGGCTCTTGAAACGTCCAGCGTTTTGTTTACATTACCAGACCTCGGCCCTCTCATTGTTTATGGAATCTTTCGAAGCCTCAGACTCGACAATCCAGACACAAAGACGTCGCCTGCAATTCATTGCTGTAGCCGCATTGGGGGCGAGTTCTCCCTCTTTTGGAAAGCTGTCTTGACTACTGATAAAACTCTGGCAGGCCGGATTATGGGACATCCTCCTTCACGCACGACTTGATATTCAGCTGATGCGTAAGTCTGGGTTCCACCTCCCGCAGGCAGTGTATATAACAATGAGGTGAGCTTACATCGCTTCGAAGAATGTAAGGGTCTCAACGTAAAAACAGACTTGTTCATTTGGTGCTCATGAGTCTTATAGTGATTTCCTTGAGTAAGTCGAGTCTTCCGTGTAGCTCGAGTCCTAAAAAATAACAATGATAATAATGGTAATAATTGTTTTTCCGGTCCCAGCGGCGCGAATTGGGCATTCACAATGTCACGCCATTCATCTCGCAATGAATTGCTTGTGGCCCATCCACTGTTCTTTAACGAGCGGGCTACATCTACTGCGCACTCGCGCAATCTCCATTGGCCGTACTTGGGTCGTACGGTGTCTCTCCATCCTATGGCTAGTATTTTCCGGAGCCTTGGTGGCTCTTAGCCCTTTCGTCACTCAGGGAGGCATAACCGGCACGGGTCTGTGCACATACACCAACGTCAACCTCACACTCCTACAGATCAAGCAGGCCATTCAGATGATACAAGGCACTTGTATCGTTTTTGCAACATCCACTGGGCTTGTTATTACCCCGGACGTTTACGCCGCGGAGCCAAAGCAATCTCAGTTCCTCGATAAGTTAAAAGTGGCAATCATGGCCAGAGACATTCCCTCCTTCTCAAAGGCGCTTTTACGACATGAGCAACTACACTACTTGTGAGTAATTGCCCACATTTACTGGTAACCACACCTTCGGTACGCTGAGCGCCGCTCTCATCGCATTTTAGACTGGAACTATTTCACCTTTTGGTGTTCATTCCAATGACGACAATGGCAGCTATCCCACTTGCATATCGCGTTGGATTCTTAATCATAGCCCACCTCTTCCTTCACAACATAGCGTGCTCGGTTTTCCGTAACGTTGGGATATCAAAGCATCTTCGCAAGGAGGGATTAGTTGCTATATACGACGAGCCGATTTCATTTCAGTCGAGGTTCGATAGCACTTCTTGCGGCGAGACGGGCGTTTTGAGCTGTGAAGAACGCCGAAATCCGACGGAAACACAGGTGGTGAGTGGTATTACGTTCTCTCCATTCAGACCCTGCTCAACGTGTGAGTTAATTACAGTCCACCAGAGGAACTCATCCAGAAGGCGAGTGAACGTACGCGAGCCGTTTGATCTAGCCAGCTTGGATTTACTTAGTTCGTTCTCGAGCATATGAGTAACGGAGAGGGCTATTCACGTGCCTCAGAGGGTGGACTCTTGAACGTTGTAAATAGGTCTGTGTGCGTGAGTTTTACTTGTAATCGCTTTCATGACGAACAATACAAACATCTCCTTCATAGTAGGTCACTGCATGTATGAACCGGTGTAATACTAGGGTGTTATGAGTAAGAATGTGGTGGGATCATACGTTGGATCCTACCTTGGGCTTCTCAGCATGGGACTCGAAGCTATCAGTAGTCCGACAGAATCACGGCTTCTCGATTGATCGAAATCAAAGGTATGACTCCTTGTGTCGGGGAGTCCCTACCTTGCTCAGATCTGGATTGCTCCCTGGTCTCTTTTTCAAGAACCAGGATCTAAGAATATGACATTGAAGTCCTTCAATATCGTTCCTCCAGATTCGGGAAGCGGGTCTTTTTCTTCTCTGGGTGTGACGAACAAACAGTTGGGGAAGAAAAGGAAGAGCGAGTAGGCCTCGAGAACATCAATATCACAATACCTGAGCGGGGTCTCCATCGATGGATACCCGACTTGAAGGGTCGGGGAGTAAGACTTTGAGCTCCCGGGCGACATTTCAAGGTTCTGTGATGCCCTGGAAATATATGTTTGAATCGAGGTTGATATAGATTGTTCGCGTTATTCGACATAGATGAACTGTAATATTGGCAGCTCACTCTCAACAAACATTCAGCCCTTTCCTCGTCAGGTGAGCTGAGTAAGAGCAAAGGCACGTCTGCTTCGGTAAGCTGGTTACGACCATAATCATACCTATAATCCAAGTCTTCGAGCGGCTACTAGATGAGAGAATTAAATTACCCATGTCTTTCCCTCTCCAGCCGTTCCCGATTCATCTCTTCACTTATTCTATCCCAAACCCCCGTCTTGACTATCTCTTTATAACGACCCGGGTCATGTATGTATCCCTCATCAGATTCTCCACATCGGAATAAAGTCTTTATCAACCCAATATTCTTGCCATAGATCGGAAATGCCGCCGTGACCATAATCATCGTTTCGTCCACCGTCGGGTGACGCCAAAACTCGGTACACCCTCTTAGGTCGAACTGGGGGATGGGCGGGTCGCGCAGAGTCGCAAGAGTCGTTGAGTCGAGAATTTGGAGGGAGGTATCGGGTGTGGGCGTTGTTGGGACGTCAAAGTTGAGGTACACAATGGGGTTCTTGAGACCGTCTGTTATAAGCTGCTGTTCCGTAGATAATCCCTCCAGTTTGGACAATCGAAGCTTATAATGATCCACCGCTTGTTGGATAGACTGGGTGTATACACCAACGAAGCAGAGAATGAAGCCCTCGAAGAAGCTGGAGTCGGAGTGCGATATGAACCGCGTCCTTAGGACTTGAGGTATCTTATTAGTGACGGAAATGTGTCCTGAGAAGAGTGAATACCTACATCGTACGCCACCTCGGCACATGTTCTTGTGTTTTTTCCAAGATACTTTCTGACATTCCGCCGAACAATAAATAACCCATGAACATCCGGAACATTGGGCACGACGGTGCTGAACCCTTTGACGAGGGTTCAAATCTCGGGTTTTTTCGTAGAGCGGACACTAAAAACCATCATAGTGAGTCTAACTTCGTGGTATGTCGAATATCTAAAACATACGCACACCGTCTTCATTTGCACAAATCACAAGTCCGTTTTCCCATAGTTCGTGGCGTATCTCTCGGAGGAGGGCAGCCTTATCCTTCGCTTCCTTCCAGCACTTCCACGTTGGAGGTGATTTATCCTGCAACTCGGTATCCAGCCCCTCGATGTCTACCTTCCTAGCGGCTAAGAGGAAAGCGTGCAAAACATTGGGATACACTACCAAACGGGAAATGCGCTGCAAAAACGACGTGGTAACGAAGCTCAGCTTGTAAAACCGACCATCCCTTGTGTCATCATACTGAAAGAAACACGGATACGCTTTCAGGATGACTTTCAAGACCCCCGAATCCAAAGCCAACACCGCTGAGCTGGGATCGCGGAGTACTCCATATAGACAATGCAGCGTGATTACTACAAGGCGATGGATGTGCTCTGGGATCCTGTTTGGGGGACACTTGGGGTCAATCTTCCGTTTGAACATGACTTCGGAGACGAGTTTTATCAGGGCTGGAATTGTTTGTCCGACAACGGCTGAGTATCCGAGGGGGTTCTCGTCGCCATTCCTGCCAGTATCATGCCCCGCGAGCAAAGTCATGAAAGCTGTCACAGAGGATAGCTCGCCATCCGAAACGTGGGGAATCTTTGGAATGTGAAAGTTGATATGACGAACGAATATCTTCCCCGTTCGTTCATCGAGGTTGTAGACAACGTTCCGGGGTATGTCAGCGCGAGATATACTCGTGCGGCCGGTACCAGTAGCATCCACCACCTCTACGAGTAGCATATGCAATTGGGACCATGTCGACCACGTCCTATGACACTCGTCGGTCACCTTGATCCACGTTTGAGCGAATAGCGGTCCAATGTATGTGGTTGTACGGCTCAACGAGCGTGCGGAATCCTCACGACACGGCCGCCTAGGCCGCCCAGCTGCCGAGAGAAAGCAGCCGGGGACATACATCAGAATGTGATCCCACGTGGCGATGCCTTCCGCCGTTAAGGGCCCTTGGTGGTCTCCGAGAATGATGTCTTCGAGGAGTACCTTCACCCATGGACCAATGAGAGGTTCCCAGCTGGCTCGGATAACGGATGTCTCGCGACTCCTACTTAGTGCGCTCATCGCCTGTATTGCTGTCTGTATATTCGGTGGAGGTTCGGAAATATCAGCTGGGGTGATGGAGGGCGG